CAGGAATGGGCCCCAGTGAAAAATCCTACATGGAATCTACCCTGTCAGGAGGAAAACTAGAGCTGTCCTCAACTCCCAGGGGCCTTCAGGGACAACATCCCTCTCTGCAAAGGGGAACCAGCTGGCTCAGCCCCCCCAGCTCCCAGCCAGGGGGTGCAAAACCAGCGTGCCAGGGAGCACAGCACCAGGGGAAGGCAGAATTCTTCCCAATGTTTGCTCAGGTTTAACAAAACCAACTGTGCACACACACACACCTCTTCTTTCCCCACCCTCCCTCCTCCCTGGGTGCAGGGAAGGAGCAGGACCAACACCCTGCAAGATGAGATACATACAAATATCTATCTAGGCAGGGAACCTCCAGTGTCCCTCCCTCTTCCAAAAGCCACTCCAGGCTGGTGCCTCTTGTGAGCCACTTGGCACAGCTCCCTTTCTCCCAGCCCAAGGACTGGGTCATTTACCTCTCTCAGCATTCCCAGCTGGAAAAAAGGGGTTATGGCCTCTGCTCTGCTTGTCCAAGGGGGAGGAGGGAGCCAAGCTGCAAGTTTATTTGTTGTCTGTGCAGAATTCCTGCATTCCTTCCCTTGTTTACTCATCTGCTCTCAGGACACACTCAGACCCCAGCCAAGGGCTTTGGGGGCACCACATTCCTCATGAGCCTGGAGCTCTTGCTGGAACACAGGACAAGGGCAAAGGGGAAAAGAGAGGAGCCACCAAATGGGTTCTTACAGGTTCTCCAGGTGGTTGGGCAACAAGCAGGAGGATCATTTCTCTCCAGATCTGATTTCCAGAGAGGCACATCTCCACACCTGGAGGTCTAAGACTCTCCTGAAGAGCACCCATGGGTTGTCTCCCTCTCAGCTCTTCCCCACAGCAGCACCAGGAACTCAGCCACCCTCTGGGGCACAGACATGTCAGTGCTCCCCACGATGTCCCACAGAGAGCTGCAAGCCAGTCCCTGTGCTGAGCACCAACGTGCCCCGTGTCCTCCATGAGCACAGCACAACCCTCCCCTCCTCACCCAAGCAGACACAAAGGCTCCAGAGATCAACATGCCAAGGACACAGGGCTTCACCACAATGATACAGAAGCACAACTCGTGTCCCCCCAAAAATCACTTAGCTGATGGGCTTGGCTGGAGAAACAAGCTTCATCCCCAAGACCTCAGCTGGCTTGTAGGATCCTTACAGGAGCCCTCCAGGCTGACTTAGCATGGAAGGAAGCTCTGATGACTACCAAGAAGGACAGGCCTTCTCACAGGATTGACCCATTAGCTCTAAACCTACAGAAACACCTAACTCAGGTGTGAGGAGCCTCAAGTCCCTGCAGAGCTCCTGCCACACATCCCTTCCTTCTGGGGCAGGACTTGCAGGGGAGATGCTCCCAACAACACTGGTCTCATCAGAGAGGGGAAGAGGGACCTGCCCCAAATCTGGAGGATAACAACCTTGGCTTGGCTTGCCAGCCCTGCCTGTGAGAACAAAACCAAGACCAGGCAGAGCCACGACGTGACCCCAGACACAGCAAGACTGATCCAACCCGGCTCATTCCCCAACCAACCCCTCCCAAGCAGAAGGTGCCCAGCAGCACCAGGGCTCAGCTGCTGCTGGTTCCCAGTGCCCGGGGCACCCGGGGCAGCCTGGGGGGCAGTCTGGGCTGCAGCCTCACCTTCCACGCAGTGCTCCACCTCCTCCAGGTTGCGCAGGGTGATGCGCATCAGGCTGGAGTTGAGCATCAGCTCGTTGCGATGGGCCGGCCACAGGGCCTGGGGGGCAGGGTTGACAAAGAAGATCCGGGTGTCCCCCGTGGAGACCTGGTTGTCACAGATCAAGGGGTCCCCGAAGCCGCCGATGACCACCTTGTTGCCGCCGTCCAACAGGATCTCGTGAGTGACGACGTCTCTGCCCTTCAGGTAGCGCCAGACGCGCACCTGCAACGAGAGGGAGGGGGCACGTCAGCACCTGTGGCACGGGCAGGTGGCACCTGCTGGCACCCGCCTTGTCACAAGGTGCCCCAGGAGAGGCTCGGGCTGGCAGAGCCTTTCCAGCCCAGCCAATTCCATCAGCCACCCCTCCAGAAGCACAAGACGTGGGAGGCTGAAGCGGCTGCCAAGCTGAGCCCAACTCTCCAGGTCCTTGGGTCTCCCTGCCCCACACAGATGAAAGGCAGAGCAGAAAACACCCCCATGGAGAAACCTCAAAGGCAGTTTATGTTCCTATAAACCCTCCTGTTAAGCCTGGATTTGTTAAAATACATGGAGGATTTGGCAGTAGGAGCCCATTTCCCTTTACTCATCCGACCCTCAGGAAGAAAAACAAGTCCTGGCCACAAGAGTCAGTCCTGCTCTCCCCCCTTCCCCTGCCAGTGGGTCTAGAGCAGCTTTCCAAGACCTCACTGCAGCCTCAGCCCCCTGCCCAAAAAAGGAGAGATGCCACAAGCCAAGCTCCCTCCAGCTCTGCACAGCAACCAAGGAACAGCCACGCAGGAGGAAAGCAGCAGCCCTAAAATGACTCTTCAGTGGACATGGGACACCAGAGACTTGTCCCCATCCACTCCTGAGGGATCAGAAACCTTCTGGCTGCTGCCACAACCCTACTGCAAGGGGAACATGACACAGAGCTGCGTTGCTTGTACCAGAAACATCTCATCAGAGGTTCCAGCCTGGAGGAAGGGTGGTTGGGGACTGCAGGTGTCCCTGGCCTGGCACACTCCAAGCCTGCTCTGTCACACTCCTTGCCAGCATCTCTGCTACCACCACAGCCCAAGTGCCCAGGCACAGCATTCCCCAGCACCCCAGGAACACTCCAGCACCCCCTGAGCAGCCAGGGAGGTGGTGGCTGGGAGACAGGGGGGCTCTCCATCCCCTCTCTGGAACAGGCACCCACCTAGGGACCTCAGGAGTGCAGTTCCAAAGGGAAGGCAAGGGGCAGGGAAAGGATGCTCCCACAAAGGGCACCCCAGTGTCCCCCAAGGTCAGGCCAGTGTTCACACTACAGCTCCTGTGCTTGGCAGAGGGGTTGTGCTGAGGGGACTGGTTTCAGTGGAGGAGGGAAGCACAGAGCAGCCATTACCCCACTCCAGAATGAACCATTTTTTATAGTTATCTGCAACTGCAGCTCCCATGAAACTGTGCTCCCCTGGGGGCTTCTCTGACCCCAACCCAACAGCAGCACTCTTTGCCCAGTCCCTCCATCCCATTACTCAGTGACTACACAAGACACACACAAAGACCTGACACTTCAAATAAGAGGGTAAAAACATGTCTGGGGCTAAGAGGAATGCAGGTCTCATGGCCTGTCATCAGTCTGGTCAGGTTTTGAAGCCCTAACTCCAGGATCTCAGGGGTGTGAGCTCAGCTGATCAAGACATGTCAAAGTCCACAGTGGTTCTGAGCTGAACTCCCACACACTGTTCCTGCCACAACAAGCAGCAGGTTGGGGCAAGGGATCAGGGCCATTCCCACCAGCACAGGAACAAGCAGGCTGGGCTGAGACCCTCCTGCTCAGCACAAAACCCACCTGGCCAGCAGAAAAAGGGAACTCATTTAGCCCTGCTCTACCCTGCAGGTGGGACTGAAGGTGAAGAACTAAGTCTGGGAGTGCATTTCATTCTCAGATCTTCCTCCTGAAGGTGTAATATTGACCTGCATTATAGAAAGACCCTGAACTTGATGGGTCTCAGCTCCCACCCAGCCCAGCAGGTCCTGTGATCCAGCAGCAGCCACTGTAAATGCCTGAGGTGAGCCCTGTTCTCCTGCATCCCAGAGATGAAACCCCATCCTGGGTTCCAGAGTGGCAGCTCCTCCTGGGAAGCTGCACATGCCTTGGCTGCCCCCGACCAAGCAAGGTCACCTGGAGACCTTGAACCCAGGTGCTCCCACACCCATCTGTCTTCCAGCAGGGAGTCAGCTCCCCTCAGGCTGATGCCACAGCCACCAGAGGACAAGCAATAGCTTGTTCACAGGCTCCATCCCTCCCCACACACTCCAAGGGAGAGAAGAGGGGCTGAGATGCCTTCAAAGCTGGTTGCACCCAGCCCTGTCAGCACCAGCTCTTCCCTCCAGAGGGATGGCAGGCAACCAGCAAACAGAGGGGGCTTCAGATTGGCAAGGAAGGGAGGCTGTGACAGGCAGTTTTCCTCCCCTCTGCTCTTGCAGGGATCCCAGCTATTGCCACAGAGACATCTGCTCCACCACGTGCCCATCTGGGACCACCTGCCAAGGTGGCACCTCAGGTGGGCCAAGGAGGCCGGGTGCTAAGGAGCACAGCTTGCCCAGCATTGCCTCCTGCTCCCTCAGCCAGCACCAGCTGTTCCTCCTGCTGCTTCACAGAAGAAACTCCCTTGTGGTTGTGCTGCTCCTCACAGTCAAGTTAAGACACCTTCCTCCAGCCCCACCTCCTCCTCCTCCTTTGGCAGCAGCCCCAGGGCAAGGAGCTGAGGTGCTCGAGCAGCCAGGGCAAAAAACACTCAGCAACACAGAAGGGAAAAGGGGCAAAATAATAATAATAATAATAATAAATAAAATCCAGGCAGAGAGCACAGCCTGAGGCCTGTGCTGAAAGGCAGCAGTGGGGCATTTTCACAGCTAGGGCTGAGGGGGAAAAAAGACTAAAGCCTAGACCCCCCTCTTCTGAAGCAGATGGTAATTTGAGTTAATTAGCCTGGCTGCTCCAGTCATCCACCTCAGAGCCAGGCCACAGCTTTCACAAGCAACATCAGAGTCCAGCAGCCTTCTCCCCACCCTTGTCCTCTGTAATGAATGGATGTGCAGGCACCAAAGCCCCAGCAATTACCTGGAGGGCATCCCATTCAGCAGCACACACCATTAAGACTTTGTCACTGGTGACTCACCGGCTACATCAAGAAGAAGGAAGAGGGAAGAAAAGGGAGAGAGAGAGAAAAAATTGGGCTGGAACCCAGTTCCAGGAGGTCCCTTCCCTATTGCAGACTCCCTCTTTTGCCAGCAAGCACATAAAACACTGGATTAAGGCTGTTTTACAAGACTCCCAGCAGCTCCAGGGAGGCAGAGTAAGAACAGTGAAGACTTTATTGAACAGGTCCTTGCAAAAAGTGGATTTGAAGTGCAGGACAAAACCAGAAAGTCCCAGGATTTTTCCAACGTGCCATGGGGGTCCATCCCACAGTAGGGAATAGGACCACCAGTACAGGCACATGCAGCACTCACCAGTTCCTGCCAGGAAGGTGCTGGGAGAAATGTCAGCCCTGGTCTTGTAAGGAAAGGTGAGAACTTAGAGCCTCTTCCTTTGGGAAGAGCTGCCACTCTGGACAGCAGTAAAAAGGGGGCCACCAGTAGATTTGGGCAGTTGTTAAAAGATGAAGGGCACTGGGCATCAGCTCCACAGCCAAATCCTGCCCTCCTGACCACAAGTTGTCCCTCTCCCCTTGCTTGTCACTCTCTGTGCCTCTCCCTGGCAGAGGCAGCAGAGCTGAGCTCCAAACCCACCTCCCCCCAGCAGCTTCCACATCCAGCTGGAGAACAGCCCCCAAAATGCAGGCTCCATTGTTCAGAACAGGATCCACATCCTTTTCAGCACTTCCTACAGCACATATAGAACCTGTATGTGTCCTATAAATAGGAATCCCCTCCATCAGTGGCAGGTCAGCCCAGAATGAGACACACCAGGGAGCTCAAAAGCAAAAGGGGCAATGCCAGTGACTAGGATGAGCAGCACCATCCCAAACTTGGGAAGGAGAGCCAGCACAGCACCAGGTGCCCATGCCCAAACCCCTCAGTGACAGGACACCTCAGGCAGCTGCAGAGTCAATTTTGGGAGTTCTCTGTCAGCCTGTTCTTCTTCATCATCTCCTCTGGTAGCCAACGAAGGGAGTTCACCTCCAATTAACTTCACATTTCTTCTCAGTTGTAATGAGCTTATCTTCAGCTATCAAAAGCTTCAGCTGGGAGGGTTGAGAGTTGAACTGGGAAGAACAATGCAGGAAGGCAGCCCTCCCAGACCACCCAGCACCAACAACACTCAGCTTGGGTGTGGGCTCCGGGGAGCTCCAACCACACACTTGGCCCTTGCCTTTTCCTCCTCAGATAAGGAAGAACCTGACAAGAGATAACTGTGGTATTTGGAGGTAACCCCAGGGCCTAGGGAGCAGTTTCTGGATGTGGCAGTGAGGAAGTGGACACGTGTTTTCTCACCAGCAAGATCCCTTCTGCACCTCAGCTCGCAGAGGCGGCGCGAGCAGCGCTGGGTTGCAATGCCAACATGGCATTCATTTCACACTCCCTGCCAAATTTTCCAATCTAGGTGCCTGGCAAAAACCAAACCAAAGCACCAGGCAAGTATGTCTAGCCCTGCCACCCAGCATCAGCAGAATCCACAGCAATTTTCACACTCTGAGAGCCCTCAGGAGCGAAACCAGCCACCAGCTGCTGCAAAGCTTCACGTTCACCCTCCGAGTCAGTCAGGACAGATTGATTTGCTTTCAGGTCCTTAAAACATCCCATTTCAAAGCTGCTTTTTCCTGCAAACACCCCGTGAACATACCATTAAAAAATTACAGAGACTGATGTGTTGGTGAAGAACTGAAGAAGCAACTGCCCTAAGAAATGTCACAGCACGGCCGGGCCACAGGGTGGGCTGGGCACTTCCAGCCAGGCTGGGAGAGGGATTGTCTCCCTTTCACTTTCTTTTACAGGACTGGAGAGGGATGTTGGGGACAGGTTCTGGCCTTCAGGTGCTGTCATGACCCTCCTAACCAGCAGCAACAAAATCCCATTGCTAACTCCAGATGCTCCTCCGCAGCAATTTTTGGGATGGCTCAGGGAAAGCTGGATCAGAGACTCTCTTCCCAAGCTAAGCCATGCGAGCTGTGTTTCCAATAAATCCACCCCCTGCAGCCCAGTTTTCTCCCTAGCTGCTCTTCCTCAGCCTTGCCTGCACCCTCTCAAAGGCAGGGCTGCTGAG